TGTGGTCGGGCATGCGAAGGGTCACCTCTCTTCTAAATTGTTAGATCCTTTCCAGATCAACGCTTGAGAGGAGGCACCCCTTCGTCTTGCGCATGCATAACGAGGAAACCCTAAAATATCCTGAAACCCTAAAAACTTGAGGTTCTAGAATAATCTTTTTTTTAAGTATTGTTTATCTTTTATTTATTTACTTTTTACTTCTTCGGTCTGCGCCACTTTGAACAAACCGAATACCCCCTTGGTATTCCTCCACACCCTTTAAACCGAATACCCTCTCGGTATTCTTGCTCTTCCAACAAATTGAGTACCCTTTCATTTATATGTTTGGTACTTATCTATATTTAAAGCCCTTACCTCGTACCTCTTCGGGCTTGGGGGGCTAGTGTACTGGGTAGGGAACTGCTCGATCCTGCATATAGGAAAAGGAAATCGAGTACCTATTTGGCCCAGATTGGCCAAATACAACTCTCAAGATTTAAAGGTAATTAACCCAATTAGGGATAATAATCAAAGTATTATCTATTTTAAGGAAAGGGCCAAATTCAAGGCTGACCCAGCAGGCCCATTAGCCCATAAAAATGCCTATAAAAGGAAGGTAGGAAGTATAGGTAAATGGTTGACTTTCATTATTAAATAGCATTTATTGCTCAGAACTGAATTCTGACTTCAGCATCGGAGTGCCTTTTGCAAGTACCCTCCCCACGTCAGCAATAGCTGGAGAGACGTCATCATTGTAGATTAGAAACTTAAAGATTAGTGTTTCCCAAACAGAAACAAATTTTTTTTAAGAAAAAAAAAATGTATGTGTGTCAAATATATTCCCGTGCTATGTGATTTTAAGGAATACTCTAACTAATATCTAAATATTTCCAAAAAAAAAAAACTGCTCTCTAAATATAAATCTTTATAACCGATTTCTAGATATAGTAAGTTTCTTAAGATAATGACACATATAATAAATAAGAAAGAAGTTATTATAATAATTCAATAATGCAAAAATGATATCAATATTTCTTTAATTAATTTCTATGCATAAATGGATATTTTATAAATTTGTTAATTTCCTCTTTAGTCAATTCTAATTAGAAGTTTGATTGGTATTTATAAGGGATTACAAATTTAATAAGGGTACGTTTAGATAAAGGATGAAATTAAATAGAAATTTTTATATGAGAAAATAAAAGCAAAATAGACTGAAAATATGTATTATTTAGATGGATTAAAAAATTTCTACTTATTTAGATGAATAAAAAATATAAAATATATGATAACTTTAAAATTATAATAAAAAATTATTTAACAAAAACAATTACTATAATGTCTTTTTTAAAATTTTTATATTTTCTATATTATATATAGAAAATTAATATTTAAATTAAATATAACAGAAAAACTCCACGATTTTCTTTTCTTTTTCTCTCTAATTTAGGGAAAGAATAGTCTAGGGATGACAATGGGTAGGGTATGGGTAGGGTACTATAGTACCCATCCCCATACTCGCGTTTTAAAAAAATACCCGTACCCGGCTCCATACCCGCGTGGGTATGAACATTAATCCTCGTACCCGTACCCTCTGGGTACCCGCATACCCATCTTGTACCCATTACCCGCGCTTGTTTGAGAAAAAAATATTTATAAAGAAAAATATATTTATATAACTTCACATAAGTAGCATAATAATATAAAAATTCAATATGTAGTGGTACAAATATAGATAAAAAATAAATATTCAAAGATTATAAATGTCAAATGTATCTTAATATAATAATTTTCTAAACTAAAATTCTTAGAAACAATAAGCGAAACTAAAGACACAAGTTATTTGTCAGTGATAACCATATCTTGTGTGAGATTTGATCAATTGACAATGTTAGAGCGACAATGAAATAAATCTGTACAAAGATTGTCCCTTTGTGTGGGATCACTTGGTGACCTCTTGTGACGCCATTGACAACTAACTCTAATGAATTTGTTAGGTTTTAATGAGACAAACATTGAAAACAATAATATAGTTAGAGTAGAGAAGTTCAATACTAACAACAGAAAGTGAATATATAAAATATTTTTTTTAACTTTTAAATTTAAAATTGTAAGAAAAATAATAAATTTAATTAAAATAATATAATATAATTTATATATATATATATATATATATATATATTAATACTAGTATTTTTAACTCATATACTATACGAAAGTATATAATCAAAAATACAAAGTTTTGAAAAATTATTTTAATGAATTAAATATTTATAATGTATATAAATTTTAAAAGAAAGAATTTGAATAAAAGATAAATAGTTACAATAAAATTTTATAATAAAGAAATATACGTATATATTAAAAAAAAATTAACAAATAAAAATTAACAATAATTTTTTATATTTATATCTTTTCAAAAACTTCTTTAAACGTGAATAAATAGTAAAAATAATATTATTTAGATTCAATAGATTATAGTTGTGCTTGTAATACATATGTTGCATAGAAAAATATTATTTTAAATTAAAATATAAAAAATAAAATTTAAATATTATTAATAAAAAATAAGTTTATGGTAATAATAGGTAAATGTAAAATTTATAAAATATTTACAATATATTTATTATTTATCATTCACTTTATGATTTAAACATCAATATGATTTTATTAACAAAAATATTTGTGTAAAAAATATTTTATGTGTGTCATATATAAATAATATTTTAAAAAAGTCAATCTTATATTAACTATGTAATAATTAAATTGTATTAGCATAGTTAAATGATATAAAATAGTAAATAAATTTTTCTATTAAAAATATAAACCAAAATAAATTTGTTGGTTTACTTTATTATTAAATATATTTTTATATTAATCTTATATGTAATATAATAATACAAAAATTCAATGCATAATTATAGAATAAAGTTTAAGCATATATATATATATATATATATATATATATATATATATATATATATATATATATATATATGCGGGTATCAAGCAGGGTGGGTACTTAAATACCCATACCTGCACTCATCTCCATTAAATTTTACGAATTTTTACCCACACTCATACCCGTACCCGTATAGCGGATAACTACCCTACCCATTATGGGTAAATTTTACGGGTGTCCATCGGGTACTTTACCTATTATCATCCCTATTCCCACCACCTTTTCTTCTGCCTAATTTTCTTATTCCTTCAACCAAACACTTAAATCCTCTTTCTTTCTCTTTTTAATTTCCTTCTTGTTAAAGACCTCAATTCAAACATGTTTAAAGGATATAATTTCTTCCGTCGTATCCTTCATAAAACAGGTAATTATATCTTGTTATTTTTCTAAAAAAATATAAATATTTGAGTAAATAAAAAATTTATTAATATTATTTAAGTCACAAATTGACATAAAGTGATTAGTTTGAATAAACTTTTAGAAAAGTTTTTATCAAGAAAAAAATTAATTTAAAAAAGAAATATTTTTTCATAAATTATAAATAATATATCTTTTAAAATTTTAGAGAAATTAAATAAGAAATCCTATGAAAAGTTAGGAAAGCATAAATTGTTTAAAACTTGTGAGAAAAAAATTATTTATTTTTATACTAATTTTTCTATAAAAAATTTTTAAAAAATTTGCCCAAATTGAGCTATATATTTGGTGTCCATTTTTTTCAAATGCAAATACTGCAAAAGAGTGTAAGATCCAATTTGTTTCCTACGTTGCTGGAGCATTTTAGAGGACAAATTACGAAATCGTGTCCGTTAATCACAATAATCTATTTTAACTTAATAAGTTGTTATATTTTCTTATAATTTAACTATTGATAATTTAATAAAAAATATAATTCTGCAATTTTTTTTCCGTTTATTCTAGTGTTTCTCATTAAATATTTGAAGAAATACAGGTGAATTGGAGGGCTGAGCATGTATTGCAATTACTGTTACGAAAGCTCCCAAGTAATAAATACAGATAAAATTATCTATACGTGTTAATTATATTTAATAATTCAAAATTAATTTTATTTTTAAATCAAACATGCAAATAGGTGATCTATATCTAACCATAGACTTGAATGTGAGATAGAGTGAGCTTAACATCAGAAGGTTAATTTGTTATTTGTAGGAGAAAATTTAAGTACAGTTTTTTAATTAAGTACTTTTTATGTTTATTGATTAAAATTAAAATTGTACATTGACAATTTTTACCAACATTAGATATAGATTTTTTATTGAAATGAAATTATAATTTAATTAATAAACAGTATAAAAAAAATCTAAAAAATTATACTTTTTTTTATCTTTATTATTCTTCAATATCATAGGTCGGTCATTTTTATGAAGATTTTTTTTTCTGAAATTTTTATCTTTAGCATACATTGGGATTATTATTATTTTACTATCCACTTTTTTTTTAGTCAGGCGCAATGCTAGTATAATTTTCTCTTACGTATTTTATTGTTATCTAAAATTTATTAAATATTATAAAAGTTGCATGAGCATATTATTAATTTAACAATTTTTATTAATTTTTTTATTTTTAGTAAATTTTTAAAAATTCCAAAGCGTGTTCCTAAAACTTCTATATTATTTATACTACTTTTTTTTTTTGTCTTTTTCAAAATTTAATTTTAAAAAATGTGTTTAATAAGTTTCTAAAATTAAATTTCAAAATTTATTTATAATTTTTTACAAAATTAATTTTTAAAAATAATTTTACATATTTTAAAAAATAAGTTTTAAAGGTAATTTATAAATAATTTTTAAAAATATATTTAATATATGCTAAAAAGTAAATTTTAAATGCGAAAAGTGAGTGATTAATAAAAAAAAGTTGGTAAAGAAAAGTAGTTTCCAGTTTTCACACGTAATCCAATCCAACAATTAAAGCCCATGAAATTTGTGGATCGGGTCCGAAGGGAAGACCCTTTCCTTAACAGGTAAGTCACCATGCGTAAATCATCAACAACAAACATTCAAAGCTGAACGCAAAAACGTTTGATTTGGGGTTACAGAATTTGAGAGTGAAGATGACGAAGCTCTTTGGGGTTTGTGTTGCTACTTTGCTTGCATTTTTTGGGCTCTGTGAGTTGGGTCTGTGCATGCAACACGACAACCTCATTAGGATGAAAGTGGGAGCATACGAGGCCAATCTTAACTCTCCTGAGATCGAGAACCTTGCTCGTTTCGCCATTCAAGAGCACAACAACAAAGAGGTTTTTTTCTTCTATTTTCAGTTTTTTATCCTTGATTTCATACATCTACGTATTAAAGATTGAATTTTGGCACTTGGGTTTGATTCGTTAATTAATTCATTCAAATGGGTTTTATTTCTTTGATTGAAAGCAAGTGAATAAACTAAATTCTCTCTCTCTCTCTCTCTCTTTTTTTTTTGTTTCCTTTCTTGTCCAATATTATTCGTACTTATTTTCTAGGTTGTCTGTTGAGATTCCTCTTCTGTGGCATTACTTGAACATATATTTGATAATGGGATGATAAATTTGGCTGGCGGGGCATCATGAAATATCTGGACATGCTGGAAATTGTTAAGAGGAGATTTGTAGTAATTGATAATAGTCATAAATAAAACGCTTGTTATTTCATTTGGTTTTGTAATAATTGTGTTTGATGCAAGGATGAGTACCCACTGTTTTAATTATTTTCATTGGATTATGATATTTATACTAAAATAAAAAATGAATATTTTACGAAAAACTAGTGATATGGAGGAAATATGCTATAATAAAGGTAGGTAAGGTGGAGACGCCCCAGAGGATTTGTAATTTGTTAGATATATCTAGAAGTTTAACTGATCAAGGCAGGGGTTTTGTGAGGAAAAATAAAAAGGACTGTGCATGCTTGTTGTTGTTGGAGGGGTTTGGTGCATTATCATGTTGACATCTAGGATTCCCAGATATAATATAAACTTGTGTTAATTGATTCCTGGGCAAAACTTAGGTCCAGCTCCTTAAATGCTTTTGGTGCTATTTTCCAATTTAAATTAGGGTTTTACCTTGATAATCATCAATTTCAATAACATTAAATTCTCACCTTTTACCCAGACAAAATTCTAATTATGATTGGAAAATAACACCAAAAGCACTTACGGAACTGTAACTAAATTAGGGTTTTTTCTAGTGTACTGTAAAAAGGTGTAGGATTAATCTGAGATCTTTTTATGCAATTATCCCCTGTAATTGTAGGTATCTCCTTCCTCTCAATATTTTGAGTTAGACATTCATGTGTAGAAGATTTTAGTTCGTTAGTAACTTTCAAACACCTTTTTTTTTATTTGACTTTCTCTGATGGATATCGATTTATAAGGGTTCCTTGTTTTGTATACTTTTCATCTTATACCCTTGTATCCAAGATATGTGGGAATAAAAGGCATGAATCAAACACCTTAATTTTATATTGCTCTATTCACTGTGTTCTGGCTTCACAATTATCCATGTTTGTATCTTCTATGTAATATATAAAGCCAGTTTTCAGTAGTCTCTCTTTTTTGGTTGCTCCTGTATTTGTTGAAGTTAATGTCAAGTGAGTACAAAAACAGTTAATTATTACTCAATTGGAGGATAGGAGAAATGACAGAACACTGGGAAATGTGAGTATTTGAGGAGAGAAAGATACAATAGCTTGTCTCTTAAATACTGTTGTGGTTGGAGCAGGGATGCAAGACTAATCCATGTATATATACAGCTTTATTGTGTTCTACATCTACTTTTTTTGTGGATTTATTGTTTCCAGCAAATTGATCTGTGATGGAATTTTCTCAACTTTGCAACTCTGACACCATTCCCCTTCCCTTTTGACAATTTGCCAACTATTAAATCAAATTTTAAGCATATTTATTTTCCTCTTATGCAGAATGCCTTTCTTGAATTTGCAAAGGTATTGAAAGCCAAAGAACAGGTGGTAGCAGGTAAGATATATTATCTTACCCTGGAAGCAATTGATGCTGGAAAGAAGAAGATATATGAAGCCAAAATTTGGGTGAAGCCATGGATGAACTTCAAGCAATTGCAGGAATTCAAGTGTGCTCATGTCATCCCTCCCTTTAGGAGTTCAGATCTTGGTGTTAAGCAAGGTAACTTTTTGCTTATATCTACTCATGAATTTCCATGTAGAACATTCTTTTCTTCACCCCTTTCCTGCACCCTGTTTCCCCAATTCTATGTTGAATTTAGATGTACTTTTAGGTAGCATAGAAGTTACTTTTTTTAATCTGTACAATGTGCAGAATTTTATCTCAGATGTTAGCAACTTCATTGTTAAGTAGGAAATGAAAATGGTAAGGTCTGTTGTGTTATAGTTTCCTTTGTGATATATGAACTGGACTGCATGATGTCTGCTAAAGGTTGCAAAAATATTATGGATAGAAAGAGCAGTCCATTTTAGCATGGAGTATTCTTTTAACAATTGATATTAGATAAACATAGCCATAACTTGTATGCCTGGAGGTTTTTATAATTTTCTGTCGTATCATTTGGAGTTGTTATCAGTGGATTTGGCAATGTTTGAAGATTTTTTGTCCCTCTTGTAAGTACTTGAATTCATCCAACTAAACAAACAATTCACCCCCAGTTGGCTTAAAAAAATAAAACAGAGAAAATTTAAATATCTTTACTGGAGAAATAATTTTTAGCTTCATCTGAAAAGTTAACTTTATAGTTACTGGAACTTGAATTACTACTAATAGTTATATAATGGTCTAAAATTAATCAAGACCATCTGTTTTTACTGTATAGATAATTAAGCCATCATTTGGTTGATGAAAAGAAAATGGACAGGGTGAAAATGGGTAGATAGAAAATGGCAAAAAAATGATTAGAATTTTACATTGTTTTGTATTGAGAGAAAAAGAAAGAAATGAACAAAGCCAAAGTCAATTTCTCTCTTTTCTTGTTTGGATAAATAGAAAACGGTAATATTTGAAAATTATTAGTTCATTTAAAAGACAAATATGACCCTGCATATGGTTGAAAATGAAGAACAGAAAAAACACAAAACAAAACTCATGAGACCCATGCTTGGTATTAATTTTCATATAAAGTATGCCCTTGCAGGCTGCAATCGCTAAGCTACAAGGGAGATGAAAGGTAGTAATGTCATAGCAAGAAAATTAAGGGGTGTTTAGTTTGAGATGTTTTATGTATTCATTTTTTGTTTTGACTTTTAATTATAAAATTATTATTTTGTTTAATTTAAATTTGATTCTTCTTTATATTCCTGTACAAATCTTTGAAATCAGGAAACAAAGCAAAAACAAGGTGGCATTTTTTGTCATTAAATGTGAAAAAAAAAAAAAATTCTCAAACCAAGGTATTTCTCCCGTTGTTTCTGTGTAAATTGCAAAGAATGAAAAACTTCACAGTATCCTCACTTGTTTTATCTGTCACCCATTTTTTCTGCTTCACCAAAGTAAACAAATTCTCTTCTCCTTACTTTCTCTCTTTCCAAATTCTTTTTTCTGTCTTCTTTACTCAACATAGTGTAAATATGAACTCTATCCGTAGTGGAGTCAATAGCTTTGGATTCAGTTGCAGTTTACTCTAGGCTGCTTGTAACGCAGCACTTGCAAGGGAAAGCCCTTATCAAAGGGTAATTGAGATAAGCATGAAAGACCCTTTTCCAGCTGGGGAAGTTTTAGTTGGAGTTCTCTTCTCTAGATGATTCTGTTTTCAAAGGCTGATGAGGAGGAAAGCAAGGGTATGGAACAAAGGGTTCCTACGTGGCACTTCTTTTAGGATCAAAGAGAAGAGAAAATTGCTGTCTGATAGTGGAAGTTTGATGAATTTCTGGAACAGTTTTTTCTATTCCTTGGCATTATTAAATGCAAAGTTTGTTTGTGACTACATGAATATTTTTTATTGCTTCAGATTAAAGTGATCTCTTGGTTTCAACTTCTCTTGCAAAATAAACTCATTGCTTGAAACCTTCAAATGCTTTTCCTCTGTTTTCAATATCCTGGGCAATGGAAAAGAACTTCTCACTTAGTTTACGAACTTCGGGTTTGTGGCTCTTTATTACCTATCTCCAGCACATGCTTGAGTTTGGTGTCATGAACAAAAGGCTCAGCACCTCTTGTCAGCAGTTGATAAGAAACTAGAGGGCATTGTATTTCTCCCCCCTTGAGCTGACAGTAAGTTCTCTTTATTGGACTAGTTATATAGCAAGGACTCGACTATGTAATTTTTTGGCTATAAAGCTATCAAGAGGTAGTTGATTTTTACCTTATATTGTTGCAGGAGTTGAGCAATGATTTTATAGTGCAAATTCGTCATTTTCATTCTTCACCTCTACCATAATTTCTGGGTCCTTTGAATATATGCTGAGAGAAGTGATACTCCATCACCCCTCCAAAACTTTCTAAAGTTCAATTGTACATACACATAATAACTTATTATTAAGTATATATTGCACCATCAAGTTTTTTATTTGATTCTCTGCCCCTGCTTGTGCTGATTTTGACTGCACGGTTGTTTCTCCAAAAATAGCTTCTCCCTCTTTCTTTTATTTCTTAAATTGTTATTTTTCATTTAAATATCAACTATTGTTTCTAACAAGTGTACCGCTTTTAATTCAGAGGGACCCAAATTAGGATGGCATGAAGCACCCATTCATGCTCCTGAGGTCAAGGATGCTGCAAATTATGCTGTCAAGTCCATTGCACAGAGGTCCAACTCTCTGTCTCCTTATGAACTTCTGGAGATTGTTCTAGCCAAGACCAAGGTGAGCAGTTCTATTATCAATTTCTGTTAATAGCATGCTTTCTGTATCTGAGTATTCAATCTCCATTTATTGTACACTTCTGCCCCTTTAATAATTGTTTCTTCCCCTCCTTTCTAGGTACTTATTTCTATTGCTTTTTATGCTTATTTATCTTCTCAATTTACATTCTTTGGTAACAATGCAGGTCATCAATGATTATGTCAAATTTAACTTGCTTCTGAGGGTAAGCAGGGGAATCAAAGAAGAGAGATTCAAGGTTGAAGTAAATAAGAAACTAGGAGGAAAGTTTTATGTGAGCTGGATGGAGAAAGATCATTCCTGAGTTGATCAACTAACCTTGTATTTATTGATGCCAGTGGAGTGATGCTGTATGAAAAATTTACTTTAATGTGAACGTGTTACGGTTATGTGCATTGCTCTGAATGTTGTAAAGGGTAGGTAATACGTATACGAACTATTTGAGATACATATGCTACATACCTTTCATGTATTATCTGTAAATAGTGAGTATATAATTAGTTTGTCTTGTAAATCCATTCTGTTTTAGTGTTCTTGTTTATATACATGCTTTGTGTTTCTTTTGGTAAAATAGCTTTACTATGTTTGTGAAAAGATAACCGATGCGTCGTGGACTAGTTGATGGAGCATGCATATACTCTCACCTGCTATTTCATTTATCGAGAAATTTTTTATGAGCATAGAACTAACAGTACATTCATAATCAATCAAAGTATTACAATACATTAGAAGAGAGACAAGATGGAAAAATTCTGAAAAGGGATTGTTTTGTGTCTAAAGAATGAGCAGTTAAGTTGGTGCTCATATTAGAATTACTCTCATTTGTCTTAGTATCCTGTCAATTATTGAATTCCAATTCTTTTTCTCAAAGGGGACTTAACAATCGACAAGTAATGCTTAATATAGCATCTGATGTTCATTAAGGTAACCATTAGCTTCCTTCCACCGAAAATAAAAGTATATAGATTACAAAATTATTCAGGAATTTAAATCCAAAGTCTAAAGGGGACAAAAGTCAAAGTGGCTGAGTTTTCCTTAAATTGTGATTTGAATTATAGTTACATAAACACTGCGATAGCAACAAGGAAAATTTGTGAATGGAATAAAAAGCAACATTATAGGAAAAATTAAATCTCAGCAGGCACACGTTTGTACAAGTGTGAGGGAAGCCTAGGAGAGGGCACAGCCTGCAATGGGGTTCTCATGTATGTGACCAATCCAGGGCTCTCTCCCAAGTCAATCTCCTCAGCCTTCATTCCTTCAGGTGGGGTCCAACAGAAATGATGCAAGAGATGTCCCAACATGGATGTCACCAAGTTGATTCCAAGTTGGGCACCCGGGCATATCCGACGACCCGCTCCGAATGGAAGTAGCCTATAATCATGACCCTTCATGTCCACATCCTCCTCAAGAAATCTCTCGGGTCGGAACTCCAATGGATCCTTCCACACGGCCGGGTCACGGGCCACAGCCCATACATTTACATGCACATTTGATCCTTTAGGAATATCGTAGCCTCCAACTTTTACATTGGCATTTGCACGATGTGGGAGCATTAGAGGGGTTGGTGGGTGAAGCCTCAGTGTCTCCTTTGCAACGCATTGTAGATATGGCAGACTCGAGATGTCGTTTTCAGTCATTATCCTTTCAAACCCAACCACACGGTCTAGCTCCTCGTGGGCCTTCTGTTGCACTCTTGGATTTCTTATCAACTCAGCCATGCCCCACTCTACTGAAATTGCTGTTGTGTCCATACCAGCTGTGATCATGTCCTATCCAATGAAAAACAATCAACTTTATCAATTCTGTTTTCAAACACCAAAGTTTTAAGAACAAAAATGTTTTTCTAATTTTAAGAATAGAACTTACCCAGAGGAGACCAATGATGGTGTCTTCACTAAGGTCATATTTTTCTTGCAAAGTGAGGAGGGCATCTACAAAATGTTGCTTTGCATCACCAGATTTCTTGCGTGCCTGAGTGTGCTCTTCCATGATGGCTCTGGTGAGTCTGTCACGGCGAGCTCCATGCTTTGCAAAAGCCTCTTCTTCTAGTGGGAACATCCAACGCAGCCATGGGATGTGTTCTGCCATAGCTAGAGATGCTCCTAGTTTTAACCCATTTTGCACAATAGCCTTGAATTCTACTCCTTGTTCATCCATCACCCCTTCTGAGTTCACAAATCTTTTTCCAAATGCCAATCTTGTGATGTTGTTGAAAGCAACGGCCCCCACGTACCTCTTCACCAACACACCTTTCCCCAAATTTTCTGCTCAAAATTTTACCAATGCATATTTGCTACATTAGAATGCTCCTCTTGATTCTTTAAATTTATTAAAATAAAAATGGAGTTTTTATCCCATGTAACATTTTTTTTCCGTGAAGATGACTTTATGATTACAACATACAAATTATACGCTGCCCATACAACGTTACTATAATTAGAACAAATTTCATGTACAAGTCTTACAACTTAAAACGAAAAAAATTGTGAAATCATATAAAGTTTATGAGAAATTATCCTTCCGTGTGTTACTAAAGCACCGAAAAATTAGGTAGACCAACTTAAATTGGTGCACGGTTTAAGGGAGACCGAAAGCAAAAAGACATTGAAGTTGCTTGAACATATAATAAGCAAGCCATGCATCATCATCATAATGCAACCAACTTTACCCAACCACTAGATTAATTGTTAGATAAAATAAAAATAGGAAAAGTTGTTGTATCTTATTATTAAAACATGTTAAAAGTTAGCTAAGCCAAAACATTTTATAGAGGTTTTGATTTTATCAGACTAATTGATCAACATTATTTAATACTACTAAATTTGCTTGAAAGTTTTACCTACGTTCCATTACCAAATAAAAGTTATCATAGAAGTGAAAGACGCCCAAAGTCTCAAATTGCATCAATTGCTGTCTCTTTTTGGTCGGTCACTTAAGACTTTACCTAATTTGTAGCTCATTTGTTACTAACCCCTCAACTAATTCATACAACTAGAGAGTACCCCAAATCATTCATTGTGCCCCAAAAATTATAACTCTATTTTAAGGAGGGAGGATTTATTTATTTATTTGAAAGCCAATTAGCAATTAGAGCTAACTCTTTTATTCTATTTTCACACTTGCTTCACTCGGTTGTGGACCAATAAGTCTATTTCCTATTTCTTTTCTCTTTTTTACATTATATCTATGAATATGAATAAATAAATATAAATAAAATAATCAATAGATAAAAGGAAAACTTCACGATGATTCAAAAGCCCGTTTGACGAGGTTGGCAAAATAGTTGCTCCGCCATGTGCCATGTCTCTCATTCATCCATATTTGACTACGCTGACAGTGATGTCCAAACGGGATTCCCATTATATGCTTATTATATATATTAAAATTTTAATTAACAATATTTACTCGTTGCTCTATATTATAGTTAATATATATGTACAGACTCTGCATTTTTTTTAAATTAAAAAGTATAAATATCATGTAAAAATTCAAAGTGTAAATATTAAAATCCAAATTAAAATAAAGAAAATAATTTTAAAATAAAAAAAGAACGTTTAGTAGTTCTGGTGCACAAATACTCAAGTCAAAATGTAACGTCAATTTCAACATACATACCCAACAGACTTAATGACAAAGCTTTTAATTGTAAATACAAAATTATTTTAAATAAAATCTTCTACTTAATTACATACATAAATCAATATTTTCCAAAAACAAAAAATTCTAATGTATATATGAATATCTTCCTTGTATGTAATAAAAGAAGAAAATTGCATAATTATTTGCCATCACAAATATTAATGATTTTGAATAAATTCATATATTTGCATATATAATTAATACTTCTTGAACATATACTTTTGCTAATTTATATTGGAATATCTGCCTGAAATGCTAATAAAAGAATTGCATTAGTGACAAATTAATTTCCATGACAAATTTATTTTAAATATGATTTTTTTTTATCTCTAATTAGAAAATGTTATCGTCTTCTTTTCATTTAAAAATAATTATATCCACCAAACAACAAAAAATCAATAAAATATAAAAAAAGATAAAGTATGAAATGATAAATGCAAAAATGAATGAAAAATTTTGAATAGAGATAATTGAGATCCGTCGTTTCTTTGTGATTAGTGTTATTCAATTATTAATGCGTTATTTTTCAGACAAAGAAGGAAACGTACGACGAAACACGATTCCTCACAAAACACCGTAGAAACCTAACAATAACTCAGACGAGGCATGGTGTTGTTCATTCAGAAAAGAAAAGGAACACAATTAAAAACTCAAGCCAAATAGTAAAGAACGTACCAGTATTGGTGCAGTCCATGAAAATGGATTCAACCATGGCAGTGACTTCATCTTCCCTAATAGGCCTCAAAGCATCAAGACGCTTGGCTGAGAAAAGCTCGAGCGTGCAAACCTTCCTCACCTTCACGTAGTGCGGCCCATAATCTGCCCAAATCAGATCCTTCCCGTCTCTGCTGAACTTCGCCGCCGAGCGGCTCCGGTGGCGGTCGGCCAGATGCTGATCTTGTTCCTTCAAAACCTCTCTGGCCAACTCCCAGTTGGAAACGATGACGTTTAGCGTCGAACCAATCCAGACCGATATGATGGGTCCGTATGACTGCGCCCACTCGGCGTAGCAGCGGAACCGAACGGGCTTTATGTCGTAGAGGTTACCGACAACCGGCCAAGGGCGTGGACCCGGAGGGAGCTTGAACCTTAGCCTTTGATACAGCGTGTAACACAGGAAAAGGGTTATGAATGAGATTGGTATTATGAGAAGCAGAGCCATTGATTGAAATTGAGGTTACTTTTCGGTGGTGATGACACTGTGTCTGAGAAGAGTTGGAGGCAGGTTGATATTCATATATATTAGCAAAAAAGAGGGAGTTGGTGAAGATTGGATGTATGTGTAATAAACGTTTCCTTCAATATACTGTACATGGTTAGCATCTATTCAATTTTTTTTTCTTTTGTTTTTTTATTTTATTTTATTTATTTTTGTTTCTGTGGGTATAACAAAAAGTACCACTAATTGACTTGAGGTTACCAACCCCGTAGCAAAATAGAGTAATGAATGAATAAAGCATGGGAAATTAAATTCCTTATTTATAATAATGAGGTGGGCTGAGCAGTTCTAATCGTTTTGACTTTAGGACGAAATTGAAGTCATTACAAAAATGTTTTTAGAAACTTCAACAAGTGTCTACATTTAGAGATAAAAAAAATGAAATATAGAAAGCAAAATAATAAATTTGGTGAATGATATGATTTGATGTAAAAGAAAGGAAAGAGGAGTTTTAATGATTAAAGTGTTTATAAATTAGAGGTGTAAGTATTATTACGTCTAACATTAAAAAATTAACAATTTTTTTATAACATTTGTTTAATAAGTTCTAAAACAGTAAAAAAAAAAGAAAAACATTTTCATTTTTATGTGTACAAATAGTTATTATTTACGATGGAGTGCGGTTGAATGGACAACTGAGTTGATAAAACATAGAGGCGTGGCGTTAGGATGAGGATCAAGTGACGCGGAATGGGAACAGGTTGCGATGCATTGAATCGTTGGAAGTATCTGTTTTTGATTTGATGGTTGGTGGGGTTAGACTTTAACCATTGGGGGGTTTGGAAGTGAATTGTGGAAGAATCAAAGGTGGGTGAGGATGTAGACCCCATCCTCCTTTTCCCCCCTGCAAATTTTCAAATTACTCTCTGAATTGCTTTGTTATGATTTGGCATCTATGGATGACAAGCTCAAGTTGCTGCTTTTTAACATCAAAGCCTTTGGCGTATACCAATTACCAAACCATATGTCATCCATTCTACTTGGATTTATCTGAGAGTTATCTTTTTTTGTGTGGTTGTAACAACTTTTAACATTCGTATACATCGTCTTATATTCACTAAATTTTGTACAACTGAATCTTAATCATTACTTTATACTCTTAATCAAACTATAAAGATTGAAGGTAAACTTTAAAATAATAATAAACAGTATTTAAAGCGAGTTATAAATATAGAATGAAAAGTTAAATATATTTATTTTTTATAAATTTAATAGTTATGTTAATCAAATTTAGTATTATGAAATTAACCACAAAGTTTACTCCATAATATTGTGTTTAAGCTTTATAAATAGAAAGTGAGGAGCATTATTAAAACAACAGATTGCTTGAAGCCGTTCTTAAATATTCAGATGACTATGGAACATGTTAAACTTAAATCAATTGTTCGTTCAAATTAAAGATAAAATATTTACACCATTGATTCTAGTTAATATAATGATCTCTCACTTCTGTGGCATAATTGCAGTCCCTAAAAACATATATTATAAATTCAGAGAAAGAGAAACATTTAAGACAAATATCAAATATAGTGATCACACACACGCTTTAACTAAAACTTAAAATAAATATATTAATTTGTGATGTATTTTAATTTTTTTAAGAGACAGATGTTGTATTATTTCAAAGTAGAAAGAAAAGTAGTATAATATGTACATCTTCTAGAAAAACAAAAACATAATTTACTCTTATATTAAAGAATAAAATTATAGATGATCTTCTAAATAAATTTTTTGAACTTTTAATTTTAGATATTTTATGTATTTTTTAATTTTTTTCTTTACTAAAAATTATTAAAGAATAAAATATTTATGCTTTTAAGAGATATATTATTCGATATCTTTTCTTCTTAAGAGAGTATTGACATTATTTAATAACTGATGGCTAATATTTGTCTGCATGTCTCGTTTACTTAAAATATTAAATACAATTTTTTTATATATGAATTTTTTTTAATATTTGGTTTAAATTATATTTAGATAATAATAATAATTGTGAGGAGTCCCTTTGTATAAACGATATATATATATATATATATATATATATATTATCGTAAAAAAACATATTAAACACATTAATGTTGTCCTTGTTTATATCCAAGTTAATTTATGCAGGTAATCAATAAGGGTTGAGTTTGGCAATAATTGGTGGAGAAGGTAATTGATGGAATAATGTTATTCATACATTTTATTTTCAGGTATGAAAAGTGAAGAAAATAAATAAAATGAGAAAGAAAAGAATGTGAGTGCGAGTAAAAAATATATTAAATAATACGATACAATGAAAAGAAAAGTGAAGAAAAATAATATAAAAATACTACATAAATATACAAATATCAATATACTGTCTGAATGATTAGATTATTAGACTCTCAGTAATGTTTGTTGGTCTAATCCTTATGGGAGAAAAATGAATTTTAAAACGAGACTTTTAAATTTATAATAATAATTATTAATATCATTTTATTTAAAATTTATTTTATATTTTTAATTGATAATAAATTTAATATGTTTAATTTTTATTGAGACATTATTAATTTAAAATAATAGTTTATTAATTTTAGTTTTAAAAAGCTTGTTAATATTAAAGCAATAAGAATTAATTGTTGATATTGTTTTCATAAAATTATATGTATAATAATATTTAACATGTATGCTATTATCTTTATTTATTTAATATTTAAATATTAAATAATATATATATATATATATGTATATTAAGACTAATAGAATAATAAAAGTTAAATAATATAATAAATAAAATAATAAAATATTAAGATAGAAATGTATTAAAGTGATGAGCTTATTCTTTTTTTAAAAAAATTCTTAACATTACTTATATGTTAATAATAATTTATTTTAGATAATAAATATCAACAAATAATATTTTTTTAACCTTTTTTTTTTATAATTTTGAGGGTCTCAATCAAATATTTAAGTTACTTTTGCTTCGGTCCCATCCAATGATACCCAGTAACATATTAACATTTATGTACAGATTTTTATTTCATTTATTGTTGGTTATGAGTTTGTTGGATAAGAGGTTGACGAGTTCTCATATGAAAGATAACCCAAAAAAATAAAATACAAAGTTTTAAAATATATGAAAAAAATACATCTTAACGGGAACCATTTTTCATGTTTACAAGACATACAAAATAAAAGACATCTTTTTTTTTCTATTTTTTTAATCTCAAATAGTATTCAATGTATTTAAATGAATATTTTAGGCGATTTTAATTTTGTAAAAATATTTTTTGAATAAAATTGAATTTAGAGTGAAAGGATTTATCTTTATTAAGAACTTCTATCTTGAAAGTAATTTTTTAAAAATTTAAATATATTTTTAATCTTTAAACTTGACACTAATTTTTAAGTCAATCCTTAAAAAATTTTACAAAATAGTCTCAGTGTAAGAATGTACTTTAATTTTCAAATAACCTTTACTATTAATGGATGTTATAATGTCATCACCGCAGGTATATCCCTGTAAGTTTCAAGTGGTTGACAAATATTTTTCATTTTTATCTCAATCATCACTCATTTATAACACTTCACAAGCATCGATAACAAATTTAATTTGCCATTATATTAATCCTCCTTCTGAACGAGGCTTTTTATTTTCTCCTTACTTTGCAGTTGAATCAAATAAACAACTAAAATTACACATTCATCTTTGACTTACTAGAAATCAAAATAATAATCTATTGTACACTACTAAGTAAATATATTTATGGATTTGATAAAATAATTATTATGATAGTGTGATATGGATGGTGGTGGAGATGGAGATGAAAGAAAAGTTGTGAAATTCCTCGTGAGTGTGTTTGGTATAGATTACGAGATTATGTTTGGGAAATATAATGAGCTCTAAATTTTTAAGAGATTGTATTTAGCAGTGTCTTATATAAATTCAGTAAAAGTGTTGAGAGTAGGTTTAAATCTAAAAGAAATTATACTAAGTAAGAAGTTAAGTGGATTTTGCAATTTTATGGCTACAAAATACTCCATTTGATATCAATGAAGCAAATCACTCATAAAAATGCAATGATGCTAATTTCGATAGCATGTGTGAAAGTTTATTTTCCAGTCATAGATTCATTCATGGTACAAGATGCCATTGATGATTTCAGAATAGTAGCAAGAAGTAGATTCGAAGGATGAGTAATGAAAGTGTTATATATAATAACGACCATTAACAACAAAGATAATTTCGAAAATAAAATTTTATGTAGCGACCATTTTATAATATTAAGTATGAGGACTAAAAAATTATGTTTAATATATATATATATATAAGAAAGATTTTCTCACATTAGTATAAGTTTAAAATTTTTGACATTTAATCTAAATTTTTTATTTAACTTATATTTAATAGTTAGTAAAATAATAAATTATAACTTATTAAATATAAATTAAATAAAAAGCTCATATTAAATATAAATTTTTTTAGACTTATATTAATATAATTTTGAGAATAATTCATGCCTTTGTTTAATCTCAGTTTGACAGACTAAGGAAAAGTTTTATACATTTATTTTAACTTAATCAACGATATTAAGTTTAAAACTTTAATATTTAATTTATTTTCAAAAATTTTAAAATAAATTTTTTAATTATAATAACTTTTCCTAATTTAAATGATATTATTTCTTATATAAAATTTATGTATTATTTCATAAAAAATTATATAATAATAATAATAAAAGTTAAAATTCTATATGTAAGTGTAATACTTTTTAAACGCTTCTCAAACTTCTTTATTATTACAATTTTTTTTTTATAAACAAACAAGCTTTACAGTTATAATAAATGTTTCATTCTCACTTCTTTTCACCACAATTACATTTTCTTCAAATATGATTAAGAATTTTTTTAAAAAAAATGCAGTTCAAAATATTAATATTTATAATAATCTATGTAAAAAAAATTGAGACATTTTTTAAAAAATATCCGTAAAAGATTTTTTTATAATAATAATTAGAAATAAATAATTATTTTAAATGTATATATATATATATATATATATATATTATCTTAAATGATTGATTTAAGCGATACATATTTAAATTTTTTAAGCAAGATAGTGGGAAAAAATCTGCTAATAAATAATTGTGTTACATCTGTTATAACACTAAATTTAAGTGATAAATACATAAAGAAAGCACCAAATTAAATACCTTCTAAATTAAGAGAAATAAATAAATAAACAAATGTAAGTGACTAAGACAAGATTTTAGTGTTTGACAGAATACACTGAAAGCTTCTTTAAATTAATTAAAAGTTTATAAAAAGGACCAGCCAACCACGACTGCTATTGAAAAAAGTGAGGAGGTTTTCAGTATTTGTACCATTATTGTTTGGTTACTAAACTGGGTAATTAATTTTATTCTTAAATAAAATATTTAACCTTACAACTTATAAAATAAAATGTTAATTTAATATTCTAGTTTATACAATGGTTGGTGGCGATGCACGTACTGGAAGGTTAATAAAATCATAGTTGGGAGGACCCACACATGTTTTATGGTGGGTTGGTGAGATAATGATATCTTGGAATAATGAATGGGCTCAACTAATCTCACAACCAAAAGCACTTTTATAAAGTGACCAAAATAAAAAAAGCACTTCTCAAAGGCATGAAGATGGGGCAAATATATAAGGTGACATATCACTGGTAATATTAATAAGTTACATGGATAGCTATTAACCAAAATGGACCAAATTACCAATAATATACTTATATTTTATTACCTTTAAATTTTTTAGTAATTCACTTAGAAAATATTTACTATAACTATGTTTAATTTTTTATATATAAATAATATTACCAATGTATAATTTTATTATTTAGAAATAAAAAAATTAATGCTTTTTCATATCTATAAATTTTCGAAAAATATGATGTTTTCAGGTACGCTTTGGCATCTTCAGGTATGACAAACAAGGGAGGCTTGACAATTAAAGCCAAGCATTTCAACGAATTGTCAGTCATTGCCCGATCCAAACACGGCGTATACAATTTTAGTAGCAACCATAGTAAAGAATCTTTCCTCCGTTTCCTTTTCACCCACTTCTGTGCACGTTTGTCGTTAGTACATCAATTATTTTGGAATATAGTACACACACAATCACACGTTTTGATGGTTTATTTATTATATTTATTATTTTGTAATTAATTTTGTTAATCTTAACTTTTAAGATTGAATAAGAATATTGGAAGTGTACCAGGTCAAGTTATCAAAGGCTTAAGCTTAATTTGATTCTAAATAAGTAATCTGAATTTGTTGAGTTAAAAGTATCCGGAGGAGTAGAAAGAGTAAAAGAGAGTCCTTAATCAAATTATCTATTGCACATATAAATTGACTCACAAACCTTCTTGCTTAAACAAGTTAATAGGCCTATCAAATTAAATGGACTCATAAATACTTCTCAATCCTATCAAATTATTGTTATTGTTGTTTAAATATGTTGTCTCTCTAGGCTTAAAAAATATTTTTGAATGGCTTGAGGCTTTATGTATTTAGTTAAGAAAAAGCTTTAAGAAAATTGAAGTTTTGGTTAAGTATTTTTAATTGGTTCATTTGTTTTTAGGTTTTGAAAAAAAATAAAGAATAGAAAAAAATTCAGAGTGATCAAAGGGAAGAGAGCATGATATTATTGGAGGGTAAGAGCTAAGTCAAATGACCAAACACGAGGGTAAGTGATCACTATTTGAATGCATACATGGTGAGAATTTGTTGAGTCCTAAAGTTCTTATAACCTTGAGTTCACATAATTTGATATTAGAGTCAGGTTTAGATACAAAAGAAAGTTGTTTTAATGCCAATGAAGAGAGTCTCATCTCACCTTGAATTACTTTTTACCACCAAAAGGTAATTTGATTAAATTAGAATTTAAGAAGAGAGTTAACAATCCATCTCTTAAGACATGCACACAATCATACAGCGACTTTCGGTCTCATTATCTGATAGATAGAACCGAGAGAGAGATAGTAGGATAAGGGACAACCTTTGTGAATGATAAATAACTTCGTTTAGATGCAAAAACAAATAAGAAAGAGAATAAAAAAAACCGATAGAAAGATGTAAAAGAGAAGAAAAAATGAAAAAGAAAAAAAACTTAAATTTTGTTTCTATTTGTTTAGTTAAAAAAAACTTCAAAAATGAAAATGTATTAAATAATATATAATTTTATTATTATTATTATTATTATTATGATAAACTAAAAACAAAATCAGGACATTTTTATCTATACATTATGTTACTATTTTCATTTATCCTAATATTTCTCTCTTTCTTCTCAAAACATCAAATTACTAATAAAATCTGTCATTTATCTCTTTTTTATTTTTCTCTTTCTTATGGTATAGACACTCAAATAAATGATTGCCATTTTTTTTTTCTGGTTGGCTGCTGAATTTTCCAAACTCTTGAAAGTTCTTTCCAAAATATATTCTCTCTCTTTCACACGCACCAAACCCATGCTTAGTGCTCAAGTTATGGCGGAATGAGTGATCAAAGTTTAAGTGTGTTTCAAAGCAAAAAATAGCAAGGAAGGAGTCTATATGTCTACCATGTGAGCTAGCTAATCCAGAGGTATAACTAAAAATCAAAATCATAATAATATACATTAGATGTATCTCTAAAAGGGTAATATGGAACATTTTGAAACTAGCCCATCCTTGAAAACATTGTGCTGAAGATGTCAGCTTCATATCTACCGTATTCCTTTTGCTTAAGTTTGAGCTCTTTGTACTCAAGTTTAATGTCTCTGATAATAAACCAAGACAAAAAATAATTATTCATTGTTCGAACAGAAAATAAACCTTGTCAATGAAAATCTGTCATTAGCCTTATGCTTGTCAAGAGTAGAGCTTGAAAATGCAATGAATGGTTACCTGTTATTTGGATCAATAATCAGTGCTCTTTTGATATCAGCTTCCGCTTTCTCCAACTCTGATGTTTTCAGGTATGCTTGGCATCTTCTGTAAAGAGCCTTCACATTTGAAGGGTCACATTCTAGGACCTGTGTATTTATGCAAGATAGGCTTAATTCAAAGCATTCAACTTGTTGTCAATTCTGACAAAGTCAACGTTTTTTTATGCATTCACACAAAATTTAATTTTAGTAACAAATATTGTATAAAAAACTTCTCCTTTCTACTTTTCTTTAACTCTTGTGCATTTTGCACATTATATATATTAATACAAAGAGAGCTCACTCTCTATTTCACTCACTCACACACACACACACACACACATATAGATATCTTCACAATCATAACCCAAAGAGCATAGGAAGGAAGAAGTAAAAATAAAAGATAAAAAACTCAAAATAACATCAGAGAATACCTTTGTGCATAGACTAGAAGCTTCAGTGTACTCCCCCAATTTTAATTTACAAGCAGCGTTGTTCAAATAACAGGATAATCGTAAGGTATTAGCATGACGCTTCTGATCATCACTGAATGAGTGATCAAACTCAATGTATTTTATGGCCTACAATATCAATAAAGTCTATTCTGTTACACACATAATTAAGTGGCATTGAGATCCTTTTATGCAAGATTTAGCAACACTTGTTATGCATTGTACTCTAGGAGTAGTGTCTTAATGAACTAGCTTGTATATAAAGTTGTAACAAATAACTAACCTTTACATATTTCTTGGATGCGCGCCTGAAATTTTGAGCCTTAAACAACATATTTCCATCGTGCTTCTTCCTTTCACAAGCTTCTATTTTCTCTTGAGTGTCCATTTTCCAAAATGGCTTCTCCTGTTCACACCATAATCATTTGAGAATGATATATAACACTGCATAAATACTGCTGCCGGTTTCTACTTTCAGCTTTTGTTATTCAATGGAACCGATATTCACAATATGCATAAAAGCAACTAACCTTGACGAAATCAACCAATTCAACTTCGTAATAAAGGACTTTATTATTGGCTATTTTTCCCAGTGAATTATTTTGGTCACACAAATATTCAGCATTGATAGTAACCAGAGCTTGTTCTGCCTTTTTCATTGTCATTATTGCTTTTTCTAGACCCTCAGGTACCTGTTCTGAACAAGCATTTCGAAGACTAAAAAGCATAAGGAAGAGAAATAATAACTACTAACAAATGTGATTGCCCCATGATCATGTCCAACAACAATGTTATACCTTCCTGAGTTGTGAACTCAAAGGGTTCTTCCTCTGATCCTTTCCTCTCAATAATTGTACCATCTTCTCGTTTACACACATATATCACTACAGAAAGTGAAAACATTAATTAAGAACCTTAGGATGATGCATTATATTTTTCTTTATAATTACAAAATTACCAACCATATACTTGGTGTTTCCAAGATTATGTTCTTGATAGGTTACCTTTCACTTGGGATCCTTCATTAGGACGATCAAACCCGTCGCCAACTTTCTTAATTTTTTTCAGTATCTTCTTATCTCCTGCGACATCAGTTACAATTTTCCATGATACCAGCTCAAGCTTGATGCTAGTTATTTTAGAATCTGGTGAGAGACAACCATCAAGCTCAGCGGTCCTATTTGAATTTTCACCGAGTCCATCTGCAATTAGTAATGCTTGATATAACTATATGGTTCTGCGACTTATGACAATACTTGTTTACTTCATCCAAAATAAAACGTGAGTTTAATTAACTTACAGCAGAATCTCAAAGCTAGTTCTGCCACCTCTCCCTTTCTCATTGTCTTTACTGCTATGCCAATGGCAGGACATAGATACCCTGATGAAAACACTCATACTTGAGCATTCCACATATGGATTTATTTTGAATGATCCTTTTTAACAAACTTATAAAATTTCTCAGAAGTTCTAGATAATGCTAATGACAAGCATATTCAACACTTGGTAACTTACCATCACTTACATTAAACTCCACACCTTGCTCAGACATGGAAACAAGCATCCCATTTTCTAGTCTTGCTTCATATTTCACTGAAAATAAGTAATTTATGTACAAGATTAGTTGTATATTTTAAGTGGCCAAGTTTGTTTATATCATGTGATTACTTAAATATACGACTAATTGATAAAATGAAAACATTATTATTTATTATTGTGTTATTACTTAATACCTAACACCTCATCAGCTTCCCTAGGGGTTGCCCATCCTTCTCCTTCCTGAATTATCTTTTTCATGATTCCTCCATCACCAGTCAAGTCCCTGATGGTACACCAAGACAGCATTTCAATGTCAAAAATGAGAGTTGCATTGGGAGGAATCAATGGTGGAGACCCTACTGCGCCGTATGCCAAGTTAGGTGGAATTTTGAAGATTGCTTTCTCGCCCTTCTTCATGGTGGCAACTCCTTCATCCCAACCTTTGATAACTTCACCTGGAAGTAAAAAAAATAAAAAATTGGTCTAATGAAACTGTTAACTAAATCCAAACCAAAGAATTTGATTTCGTTTCCTTATCCACAATATGCACTCATAATTTAATGACTTTCTGTACCCTTTATCATTCATGCAATAAATAAAGTCCGTACATTGGCCTATTTTGAAACGAAATGGGGACCCTTTATCATAACTGGATTCAAGTGATGCTCCGTTTTCAACTTGTCCTCTGAAATGAACTGAAAGGTTAAAAAAGAGTTCATTGAGCTATGGCATAGACATTATGAATCATGAACAAAAATGAAAAAGGAAGAAGAAAAGATAACTGAAGTATATGAAAGTGTTGGAGGGTGTAATGTTATGCTTTCCAACCTTCCACTTCATCTCCAGAGAACGGAGTTTGCCAAGTGACTCCTTTTCTAAGAACCCGTTTTGTGAGACCTTCATTTCCAATTTCCTTGAAAGGGAATTCTGAGTCTTCACTTTTCAGTTCATTTTCCAGAGAGTGGCTTAGCTGAGGCACTGCCATTGACATCAGAGAAAGAGAAAAAGAGAGAGCTTTTTTTTTTCTAACAAAGGATAAGCCGTTATTGGTTTCCCTCCTTTGGATCTTTCAGTTGAGAGATATTTATTTCCTTATCACCATTATTAATATATAGGTATATTTTTTTTTTATTAGGAAAAAGAAAAGGTATATATATTTTTTGTCATATAGCCTGCAAGTTGGTTTTCAAATTTGTAGAATTTATATTATCTCGATTCTCTTTATATTGCACTTTAATATTTTGAAAAATTTATACTATCTTGTGTATATAAAACAAGATTTAAAAACTAAATTACAAATGGTAGGATTAATTTATCTTTATTATATTTTTTTGGTTGAATTCAAATATAAATGGATAGGATGCGAGAGAAGCTCTCTCTCTCTCTGCTCTTTATTTTCTTTTTTTCATTTTTTGCTTTCTTTTACTCTCTGAGTCTGAATTTTGCTTTTAATTTTCCTGTTTTTTTTTTTGTCAAGATTTCTTCCTTTTGGAGTCCAGTTTTTGTAGTTGGGTTGGACCAGCCCAAATAAGGAGTAAGAAAAAGGAGCCCAAAACCAATGGAAAATCAATAGCTTGAGTTAGCTTCAATAAAAGCTTATTCAATTTGGTCCATAAGTCAAAAGTTGGACTCAAATTTGCCAACTAGCTTTTGGCATGAAAGGGTGTGTTAAGATATGTTAATTAGGAATAGAACTGATATTAAAAATATATCTTAATTACAAAAAAAAAAAAAAAGAAACCTAAATATATCTCTTTCCAATTTTAAAATTCTTGTAATTTATATGCACAGGAACATGTTTTCATCACATGAAGAGAAAAGAACTGATCCAATAAATATCTGCCCCACTCTGAATTTGCAGCCACATGAATCAATTCATGGATACCACTAATTCACAGCAACTCAGCTTCTAGAATAAAAAAGGAGACATTAAAAGCAAAGCTACATTTTTTATTTTTCTATGGATTTTGGCCATTCCTTCAGGTGATGCCAGCGACATGTGTAAGGCTATCTTGCATGATTAAATTATTAGAGTTTCATTTTCATATATATAATAAGTAATCATCTGTTAATTCTTTGTTTGATAAAAAAATTTACATATATTTTCTATCTCGTCAAATATACCACAAGTTTATTATTTATCTCATTTTTAAAAAATAATTGAATACTTGTAATTTTTCCTATTTTTTGTATAGACTTTTTGTCTGTCTTTAATTTATTTTGTTTATTATGCATTTATACGACTTTCAGATACACGAGTTCAGTACGTATTCAAAACTATTTGGTGTTCAATGTATATCACGATAGTGATGTTTCAGAGCTTCAATAATGTCGATAATAATGAGAAGATGCTGATGCTTATGTTTTCACATGTGAAAGTGTGTGTAAAATAAAATTTAAATGTTTAATGGGTATTTAAAGAAACATAAAAAATTAATAAATAATTTTATAAAAAATAATATTAAATTTTTATTGTGTATTTATGAACATACATAAACAATAAAATAAATAAATAAAATAATTAGCTAGTAAATTTTAGGTTATTAGATAACACTTTTCAATGAAGACTGAGAAGTAAAAATAAAAATAAAAATAAAACTCTGATCTATATTCCAGATGAGCTAAGTGATATCGCTTTTTATATATTATTTTTTAAAATATAAATATACTTTTAATTTTATTTTAAATTTTTTATTTCATTTTTTAAAATATGCATATTTAATATTGAAAAGTAGATAATACAACAATTATTTTATATATTTAAATAATATGTTTATCTCTTTATTTAAACTTAGCGTCATCACATCTCAAATTTTTGTCAATAAAATATTTTAAAATAAAAGCTTAAATAAAAATTTGGTCATATAAAAATTAATATATTTAAAATTAATCTTAAAAAATTATTACGATTTAATTCCTGATAAAATAAGTAACAAAAAATTTAGTTTATATTTATATCCTTTTTTCATTAAGCGTTGAGTTAGTTAACAAAATTTCAAATCATAATTATCACATAATTAATAAAAATATATAAAAATTATTTTTTCATTGTATTTTATTTACTCTAGACATTTTTTAAAAACAATGATTAATATTTTTTATTTTATTAAATACTAAATCTTAACAAAAATTTTAAGGAACTCATTCAAAATATAAAATATTTTATAATTATGAACAACTTATGTAAACACACAAAATATTATTTTTTTAAAAATTAAAATTTGTGACATAAAACGAGTGATGTGGACCAATAATATACAAAAATAATTGAGTGTATATTACTTACTGCTAACTTGCAGCTCCAAATGATTATATTCATTCTCTCTCCAAATCTTTAATATTTTACAGCTAAAAAATTAGAATCTAAGATGACCACAACCTAGCATGAATATAAAAGTCAAATCATTATGGTGAAGTGGGGTTTCATGGTAGTAAATGCTTATACTGTTCTGGGTCTCATTGGTGTCTCCTGGCTAGGGTTCTATGTCTCTACACATTGAGTGCCCTAGAAATGAACGAGACCAAGGGTCAGATATTAAAGAAAATATGTGGAAACTCGTTGTTGCATAATCGTTTTCAAGCTTGTGACTTTCATTCTACTTATATGTCTCAAAGGGTAATGGTTGAATCAATAGTAAATAATTTTGCTACCCATCAACACTGAAGAAGAATAGGCCATTTAGCAGTATATGTGAATTAACAAATCCTGTAAAATATTCAAAAGTTGATGGCTGGTTTCATTTATTGTTCGTTATAAGATTTCATATTTCATCAATAAAATATCTATGTAAATTTTTGTGACCTTTCACAATCATGTTAGTGTACCCAAAACATATTATAAACATTTTTAGTTAGATAGTGCTTCTGACAGATGATTTTTCATGAATTATTAGTTTATCCATTGAACGAGCGTGTCATGCACTAGAAAATATAAACAGGGCTTCAACATGTGCCCCAACTTAGCCAAACAATCTGGTCGTGCGCTACTAATTATTTGATCGATGATTGTTGATGAGATCAGCTTAAGCAGGTGCACCTTTCTCTAAATCATTGATTAGAATTAGGGTTTGATATATGACGTCAAATAATAATAATACTACAAACTATTTTTTTATGCAAGAATCAATAATAATAATATTACTGACTTTATTATTAAACTTTTTCTCTTGTATTGTTATAATCTTTATTGGGCATTTGCCACAACTTTTAAACACTTTGTTTTTGCATAAAATGTTGTTGTTTATATTATTATATTTAAAAACCCAATTGATTCTACTTTGTTTATAGTGAAAAAAAAAATTAACACCAGCTCTGTATAAGTAGGACTAAAGTGGATATACAATCATTTTGCAATAGGTAGTGGACGATGCATCAGGTGTCTAATGTTAATTGGCCAAGGCATATCTCTGAAATAGTTAAACTTTTTTTTTCTTCTCAAATTGTTGTGTTTTTATATTTAATGTATGCAACCTCAAGTTGTTAGACCATAATGCGCATTTATAATCCATAATTAATGTAGTAATAATGTATCATCAATATTATAAGCTCCCAACTTCAGTATGTAAAGCAATAGTGTTTTCGTGCCATAATAGATCAATGTCACCCTTTGGACTCTTCAATCTCAAGTATACTAAAATGTAACAATATATATATAATTTATTACTTCATTGGCTTATATATAAATTAAATAAAAATTTTAAATTAAGTGTATTAGTTTATAAAGAATTTTCTCTGTACGTATATACAGTGGGTGCTGGCATATGGCCGCATGATTCAAAGTCATATCCCAAAATTACTTTTCAGGGTGGACTCTGTTTCATACTCTAGTTATTCTAGATCAGATCAAAATTGTTGTGCATGTAATTATCATTAAAATAATGCTGCCTAATCATCCACTAATATCTTAGTTAAAGTTATGAAACAATCAATTAACCCGACTAAGAGCAAATTAACCTCAGTATAATTAACTTGTTTGGTGACCATATGCCTTTTAAGACCCTCTTGTTTGAAGCTTTGAGTTTAATTGAATGAAGGTTTAAACACTGAAATTTTGAACTTTGTCAATTATGGTTGAGTTAGTTTGATGTTTTGAGTTCATGCACAGCACCAAAGAAGAAATGTATTGCAAATTTCCCATTTTAATTTAAAGCACTATTTTAAATTGAAGTACGCGTCACTGCAACTGCATCTCAATCACAGTTGCGACTATATCAATCATATTTATTCACAATTTTATGAAATATCAAATACTACAATATAAGTTAAGACAGTAAAACACATAATCTATTTTATGTTTGATATAAAAAATTAATAAAATATAAAATATATTTAGATGTAAATTTTTTTAATCAAAATTAATATATTGCTTAAAAATATTTTTACTTATTTTTTTATTTTTAATAAAAGGTATATATATATATATTATTTTGTTTAAAAAATTAGTGCACATTATATTAAATTTTTTTATATTTAAATTGTAATAATTTTATTCAATTAAAGTTTATTTTATAATAAAATATAAGTACAAAAAATTAAATTATATTTTATAAAATAAGTAAAATATTTTTTAAAATATTTATTGTTTTATAAAATATTAGAAAAGGTAGAAAGTATTAATAAGAATCTAGTATAAAACTAGTTATTTTATTTTAGTATTTCTTTACTCATTCACTCCTTTAAAATAAAAATTTGAAATGGGAGAGTATGATAAGATAACTCAAACATGATAAATCATTAAGCATTTAATCCACCAAATTGGGCATTAAAATAATACATGATGGTGGAGAACCAGGGATTTGCATCTGTAAAAGAGTTATAAGAATCAGAATGTTTTATACAAGCATTTTGTGGAATTGCAAATATGCATCTCTAAGTGGCAAAGCTCCTACTTAATCCCATGGTTGCATCACTCTATGATGTAATTATTCCTCCCTAGATATTCAGTGAGCAAACAATATGTTATATCATGTTGGATGCTTATTCATAGATAGGAGAGAATTTGTTCTTGAAAAGGAGGTTGACATATTTTCACTATTTTCACTAACTCATTAGAATAATGCCTTTTTTTAGCTTTAATTAATCATTTGTTCACATTACAATTGGAAGACATGAGCCCTAATTCCCACTTCAGCTAAGTCAAAAATGAATCATCCATTGGCTACAACCAACACCATTAAAATTAGAACACTCCCATCCCAGTACTTCAGTTCTAAGCTGATTTTCCCCCCCAAAAAGTCAATGCCAATTTTAAAACATTTTTATGGTTGACTAGTAATCTTTATCGTGTAAAATCTCAGCCAGAAAATCTTGGAAACTTAAGGGAAAGGAACCTTGTCATATAAAAGAAAGGAACAAAAGTGAAAAATCTTTACCCTTGATACACCACCAATGCAATAGAATTTATACTGTTATCCAATAATGTATTGTAGTAACATTTAATGAACTTAATAATTCATTAAACAACATATCATTAGATCACAATAGAAAACATTTTTATACTAATAGTATATTCAAATTAAATTATACTTTTTATATATATTTATGCTTTTATTTAGATCTAATTAACGAATGTTTTATTAGTTAAAAACTTACAATTTATTATTTTTCATTACTTTAAAAAGTAAGTGTTAAATAATTTTTATATTTTAATTATTAATCAAGACACTTGTCATCATATTATCTTTTAATTTGTTAAATTTTCACTATAGAACGAAAAGTTTTAATGAAAACATAAATGAATTCAGTCCAACTATTTTAACCTTTTACTTATCTGATGAATTATACTTAGGCTTATCTGTGCAGCATTGATAGGAATTTCTTTTGTATTGAACAACGCTGTTGTTTCCACTGTAGTTTCTCTAGCCTTGGGGAAATTAGCTAAGTTTTCAAGCCTGAATAAAGAGAAAATCTGTTTTTGTATTTTTTTTCCATGTAACTTGAATTTGTGTTCACATGTAACTCAGTTAATATTCTACTCTTTGTTTCGGGAAACTCGCGTCTGATATGATCATAGAAGTTCCAATTGAATCGACGATATAACTAAGAGGGCAAAAAAGCAGCATTAGATGCTGAAATTTGAGAAAGCTTTCACATACGATTAGACCCTTTAGCCTTGCCATCAGAGTACACCAGCAATTATTATTCCACGGACATCACAACATTCTGGGAATTATTCACTCAAAAATATAATTGATATATACTTAAAGCCTGTTTGTTCATAGTGCAGAATCAATCTTCTGAGAAGCAAATATATTTATCATTGGTAAAAGAAATTATATATGCTGTCATCAATTTGTTTAGAGTAAATTACACACGGCATCGTAAAATCAAACAGGCCTTTAGTGAAAGATAAAAGAGATAGAAAAATAAATAGTGTGATGTGTAAAGGAAAAAAAATAATTAGAGAAAAAAATTAATGTGAAAGAGAAGTGAATGAATGTATACAAATAAAAACATAAAAAAAATATATATGTGCAAAATAAGAGAGAGAGAGTTTTCTGGGATTTCAATTTTCCTTTCATTAAAGTGTGCAAAATTTAAGTTACATCATGGACAACTAGGCCCACAAAAGGGGGTCCTAATAAAACCACGAAAAAAAAAGCTTAAGTTTCCGAAGAAATATGGTGAGGATGATGATGAAGGTTACACAAAATCCCCTCTCAATTTCTCTGTTCTCAACGACCCTTTTTCATTGCAGCCTCTGTTATTCATCCCTTTCGAATCTCTACTAGTTCATACTTTTGGAACACCAATGGCTACCCTTGACTCTTCACAACCTTCACTCTTTTGCATTTCAATGTCATTTGTTTCGGCATCTTCGATCACAGTTTCCATCCTTCCGTTTTCTGAACAGCACTTCATTACCTCAGTGATTGTCTCTGCTTCTTTCTCTTTGTTTTCCTTATATTTGCCCCATAGAACCGAGTAAAGTCCTATTACGATCAGAATAGCTCCAACCACTCTGTAACCACAAGTAGATAAATCTACATCAATTATTGCATTCGTACCAAAACCTTTGGCTTCTTGTTAACCACTGTTTCAAAGGTTGAGCTTTTTTATGATTACGATGTTTCAACTTTCATGTAAACATATAACTTTTGGTTTATGATAAGAAAATGATAGAAAGCAGAGAGAGTCACTCTGTTCAAACCATAATAAGCTGTGAGACGAAACCGCATGAAAGTGAAGTTTCTTTTCTGCTTAGAACTCCAAATGTTCATTGGATGTGAAAAGCCGATTTAATTTAAAGTTGGGTAGATTTTCTTTTGTTTTAAAACATTTAATATATTTGAGACGAGTGTATAAATTAATCTAAACTAAATAATATTTAATGGATCGTCTGCTTTTTATTAAAAAAAAATGTGAGAATTAATTTTGTAACCATAAAATAATTAAATAAACAAGGTCTTACCCTCCAAGATATATTTTTTCAGCAAGGATGAAAGCGCCCATGATGGCCACTATGATCATCATCAAAGGGCTGAAAGCAGTAACAAAAACTGGCCCTTTTTTTTGCATGACAATCCCTTGAACATAGTAGGTAATACCTGATGATATTATACCCTGATCACCAAAATTGTGTTCATTTAGACTCATATTGTTCATTAGCAATTGAAATCGATAAAGAGTGTGTGTGTGTGTGTGTGTGTGAGAGAGAGAGAGAGAGAGAGAGACTTACAGCATAGGCTGCAGCAAGAAGGTTCATGTCCCAACCAATGCTCCAAACAGAAGGCTTGTGCTCCATCACAAAGGTAACTGCAATTGATTGCAGTGTACCCAATCCACACACGAGTGCTGTGAGGGAGAGCTGAGCAGGGTATTTCCTTAATGTCACTGCCTGCATTAATCACAACAAAGACTTCTCATGATCAAATAATGCACACAAACCACTCTCATGAAAAAAAAATAATAATTAAAGAGTTATTTACTTGCCTGAAGGATGAAGAAAGAAGCCCAAGAAAGGGTAGCAATTATGAGCAGAATAGAACCCTTAAACCAATCCTTTTCACCCGAATCAGTGGTGTTTTCTGGTGCATAGTTTCTAGGATGATGCATGTACTTAGCCCCCAAGAAATTTATGACTTGCCCTTTGTACAATGTCATTAGCATGGCCCCAGCAACAGTTACCACTGTTCCAATCACCTTTGCTTGGTATCTTACTTTTCTCACGTTCAGCTTCTCCATCCTAATTCACCCAAGCAAACACAAAATACCATGTTAACTCACAGAAACATATAATAAAATAAATATAGGAAAATAAATGGGATGTTTTATTAATTAACCGATTGTGTATGTAAAAATATACCTGCAAATAACGGCCATCACAAATGTCATTGCAGGGAGCATGTTGCTTATTGCACATGAGTAGGTTGGGGAAGTAAATTTCAACCCCGCATAGTACAAGTTTTGATCAATCACGGGCCTATAAGAACAGAACAGAAAAACAGAGGAAAAGAGCAAATTTTAGAACATGGTTTTTTGGATGCAAGGATCATAATGAACACGGGTTTCTAGAGCAAGAAAATTACTAACCCAAGGAGACCCAACACGAACATTTGCATGAACATAACAAATGTAATCTTAGGCCTCACTTTCCTGCCAATGACAAGAAAGAAGTGTGATCAGAAAATGATTGATATGAATAAGGCAATGAATGGTTTATGAGTGATGGGTAGGTTAGAACCTCTCGAGAACAAGTGCAAAAGGAGCAATAGCTGCAGTAGCAAAGGCATGCCTATAAACCACAAGCACATAGTGGCTCATGCCACGGTTGAGTGAGACTTTTGTGATTATGTTCATACCGGCGAAGCCGAATTGCAGAGAAATCATAGCTATGTAAGGCTTCCACCTCTGAAAATAACTCCCACAACACCCTTCTCCTTCCATTTTCCTCTCTTTGATGTGTACAAGGTAAAGGGTTGTTCTCTGAACTAAGAACAGAGTTGTATTTGTGTACAGAGGAAGAACACTTGTAGTTGTTTGTGTCTCCTAAGTGTAAAACGTTACCCTCTCCATTCTATTTATAATAACTTCTAAGAGGTGTGGGGTGGTGGGGGAATCCTACTCAGAAGTAACTAGGATTGTAATTTTGTAACACAGACACAGATATGATCTTCTAAATTTGAAGCGTGTGAGAATCTCAGTTTCAAGCTCACACGTGACCCCCCCTCTTGCACTAGGTTTAATACGTAAGCCACAGGATATTCTTATTTGTTGGGTGTGTACGCAAGAACAATTGGATTCCACGTGGCAATAATTGAGTTGTTTTATATACTGATAAAATTTTGATAAGTGGCAATCAATTTCTTTCTTTCTTTTTTGGAGTTCATGCACAAAAGAAATTTAAATTGGTGAATCATTCATTTTGCTTCAAAACCTTCTCATGCCACTGATTAACGAGGAAATCAAGTCAGTTCTTGGAACAAAAATGTCTGCTTCAATTTACTTTTTCTTACAGAAAGTGTTTAAAAAGAATGATAAGAGCCATTCAGAGTGTGTTTGAAAATGCTTTTTTAAATAATTAAAAGTTTATGTTATTAGTTGAAAATTTTGTTTATTAAATTAATTTTATTTGATAAAACAGTTAACATATGTAATTATTAATGTTTTCAACTTTTTTCTAATTATTTATATTTTTTAAATAATTTTTTTTATCCGCTCAACTTTTAAGAAACTAATATCTTTCAATTGTGTTAACTTATCCTTTTTTTTTAGTTGTAGTCTAACTATTCTAAATTTAACACTTTTGATCACATTGATAATACGATTACCATGTCTCTATTTTTTATTGTATCACGTCACTGTTAATAATTAAAATATTAAAATAAAAAAATTAAGATTAAAATTGAAGACAAGTTTTTTCGAGACTAAAATCAAAATCTTATAAAAATATAGCAACCAAAAATTCGAACTAATAAAATAGATTTGTCCACCTAAATTAGTTCCAACTCTTCTAATAAAATGTAAGGCTTATATTTTAAAATTTGAGTTTGAATTAAATTTATTTTTTTTGTCCAATTTAAGTTAAACTAATAAAAAACTTGAAAAGCAATTCAAACTTTACTGCACTTGGACATGATTTTTACAGAGTCTAGATTGAATTTGAACATTTTAAACCTGATCAACTAAAGTTGGTAACTAGTCTGTTCAAATGGGTCAAATAGACTATTTTACGAACTTTACTAAAAAATATATATTTATTTTCATGTAATATTTTTTATATCATTTTAATATTTTCACTTTTCTTAAAAAAGATAAAAAAAAGTATATTAGGATGCATGCTTATTTTATTTATTAATTTAAAGAAAGAGTGTAAAAATGATATAATAAAAAAGATAATGAAATAGCAATACTAGTGGATTACACATGTTATAGGATGAAGTGGGGTGCTTGGTGATGGCAATAAGGTGCTCAAATCATAGGGGCCAATGGTCACAGGTCACTCTCCCACCTGAGTTTGACGACGCGGCCAGTTTCTACCACACCTTATCCATTCCAACGAAAGCAACTAAACATGTTCATATCTTTTGTTTCGTTATATGTCTTTCACTGCAATAAATCATACCTTTCTTAACGCTAATTTCTTCACCATTTTAGAACATATCTTAAGATATATTCTTTCTTAGGTTAAGATCAGCTAAGAAAACTTTCACTTCCCTATCAATTTAATGAAGATGTCGCTAAGAAAATTTTCAAATTTAAATAAAAAAAATGAAGCATGAAATTAGCGTAAATTTTTAAGAATGTTATAATTTTTTACCTGTTTACTTTAGTAATTTGAAGAAAGTTGTCCTTGATTTATCAATGCTGTTCTCTTGGTCATAGCCAATGTAAGAAGCCTATGGAATAATGACTAGTAGCAGCGGTAAAAAATAAAATAAAGAATGGGTATATATTTGTCCATGCAAATTCAGATATAAATGCAAAGAGTGTGTAATTCTCAATCTTAATCGTATATATCAAGAAACAAATTTGTAATAATGTATAAACTAAACCTCAACTTTGATGGAGAGAAAAACAATACACCTCTACCAATTTCTTTGGATGGTGAGATGAGAGCACTCTAACTTGTATTAATAACTAATATTTATTAAATAATTAAATATTTTAATATGAATATTATGTAATCTAATTAATGCTAATCAATAAAATAAATATAATAAAATTTAATATTTCTTTCTTCTGCTGATGAAAAATGATATAATATTAAAGGCTCAAAGTAACTATTCCTCATTTGTGCAAATGTTTTTAGGAAGTAATTTAATAAATTAAATTTTTTTATTAATGGTTGAAGCATATACTTTGCACTTCCTTCACTATATTTTGTTTATAAAAAATAATTATATCATTATGTATATGAGAGGGAACTTTTTTTTTATCAAATAATATTATTAATCTAATTTTATCATAATTTTCCATATACTTCCAACTTAATTTTTAATTTACAACTACTTGTTATTAATTTCTTAGCCAAGAAAACACTAGTTAATAAGATTGAAAAGCAGGTTTGAGCCTTGAACAGCTTGTGGAAAGAAGCTGCATTGTACCTAAACCAATTAATTTCACACTGAAAGGGCATCAGATCAAGAAAACTTAAATAAAAAAAGAGAGGAAGTTTATCCACGAATCAGGGAACCTTTATTTTAAGGGTGAGAGAGGAATATTTTGTTCGCAAACGTTAAGGTTAGATACTTTCCCACACCATACATTCGGACAGTGAAGAAAGCTTAACAAATAGATTATGCGATTCCCTTTGATTATAGGCATTCAAGAATCTTCCTCCTTTATGCATATCAGAATATGTGCTATCTAAATTTCTATCGGCTTAGTATAATCAACTACTCAATATTATACACATTATATCAGCTCACCTGAAACTCTCTTAGTTTTAAAAATTGAAAACTTGCAACTAAAGTAAAGTTTATAAACATGATCAGATCATTCTTTTTTAAAAAAATTTCTTTCTTCATACTAAGAATAGCTCTTAATTAACAGTTTTTTTTTTGGTGACCCTGATGACTCTCATATAAAGGTTAAAAAGACTAATTCTTTTTAAAGTATAAAGATGTCGAAGTGATTAATAATTATTTGTGAAGTTAAATTAAATTCGCTACACAACATTACAAATAAATATTAAAAAAATAAGGCTTTTACGATATATGAGATTAAAATTAAATTTTTCAAAAGTTGTTTCCTTGATTTAGATAGCCATTCATAGATGTAACAAAGTTTAAATTAAAATGGCATTGTGAGTTATACACCAAGAAAAAAAATTAAGTAGTTGGCTGGTCCCAAATTAAGTGCATTAAAAAAATTTGGTTACCATAAAATTTAAAACTATAAAATAGTTTAAATTAAAGTACAGCATAGATTTAAACTCGTAAATTAATGATAGATATATCACTATTTTCTCATTTTATACGTCTTTGTATTTTAGAAGAAAAAAACATAAACAAAAATTATAAAAGAGCGCTAAAATAAGGTTCAATAAGAGGCGAAACATTAAGGCCTTAAGCGATGCAAAAGATCATTTGTAAAGCAATTACGCATAGAAGTGACACATTATGCTTGAATTTACTTATTTTTGCAACAACAAAAAAATGTCTTTGTCAATTTCTTTAAAAATTTAATATAAATAATTGTAATCATCATATGAAAGGATTTGGTAAATAAAAGTGAGGATAGCATTTTAAATATTATAGTGTAACTATAAGAATTAATATTTGATATCGTAATAACATACGTGTGTGTATGCTTAACAAATTATGAAGATTTTCAAATCTTAATTATTAATTTTTAATTAAAAGCTATAATTACATTTAATTAAACTATATTTTCTCATTTTAGAGAATTTAAATCCCATATGAAACTATTATCAAAGGAAAGGGAGGATGGATAAGGCAAAAATATGGGAAGCTAAAGAATGAAAAAGGGGAGGGAAAAATGTTATATATATATATATATATATATATTGAATCAGGGAAAAGAGAGATATTAAAAGACAAGGACAACTCGATGGAGAAAGGGGTTCTTAAACTGGTTGTACTGAGATTTTGGGTTTTCCTTGCATATTTAGCATGAACAAGTTGTGTTTGCCGTGAATGTAATCTATTGTCTTCATTCTTTCGTTATTTTCTGAAGGCATCAAGCACACCAAACTTAGCATGTGGTAGAAGATATATAAATGTATATATGACATTACATGATCTTGTTAGAGTTTTAGATTTCATTATTTGATAAGGTACATTGGTTCTTGACAAGACAATAAATAGACATACAAAGCAGCTATTTTGATTATCCATTAAAGAAAGCAACTTGAGCAATACTGATCAGGAGGAATTTCCCATATTAATATATACTATAGTATAGAATATTCGGTTTATTTTTTATATGCAATAAGTTTTTTTGGAAAAGCAAAAGGTTATGTCCCATCTTCCTCTGATAACATATTGTTGCTCACTGAATCTCAGAATTCATAAAAGAATTACTAATTACTATGGTGCATTTGTTTCATGCATTTTCTTTTCTGTTTTAATTTTTATTATTAATAATAAAATCAATCCTTTTTAAAAAAAATACTTTGACAAAAATTAATTAAATTAATATTTTATTATTTTTGTAAAAATATTTTTTACGAACCAAGCACTTCTTAAAGTGGTTCAAGTCATAATCAAGTTTGACCATCAATGGGAAGACATCCAACCCATGAACTTACAAATCATAATAGTTTACAATTAAATTTTTTAAGATCAAAATAAAAAGTTAATATGGAAAAGGTTCCCATAATAAGTCATAATCTCGAGTGCTGCAAAGGGAATCTCGTTCTTTTTTCCCTACATAAGACAAGAGGGGAAAAAAGAATGATATAATAAGTAAACCTTAAAAAGAATGTTAATTATCAAATGATATACAATAAAAAATTAAAAAATAATAAGTTTTTGATAAAATTTTAGTATTCAGTATTATCCATACATTAA